CAGCCATCTGCCCAGGCTTCAGCGTTTGGACAGCCATCTGCCCAGGCTTCAGCGTTTGGACAGCCATCTGCCCAGGCTTCAGCGTTTGGACAGCCGTCATCAGGAGTAAGCAGCACGGGTTTTGGGGGTGGCACAACACCGGCTTTTGGACAGACTGGAGGGCCTGGTCAGAGTTCAATGTTTGGGCAAACGCCTGCTTTTGGGCAGGCTTCGGGATTTGGCAAACAGCCACCAGCAATCGGCCAGCAGCCCTCTGGGTTTGGGAGCCCACTGAGACCCACAGTGAGTCAGCCTCAGCCTCTCGGGTTTGGACAGCCATCATCATCATCCACCAGTGCCACCACCAACGCCAGTCTGCTTGGGCCAGGTCAGAGCAGGAGCTTCGCACCATCTGAATTTAGTTTCAGGCCAGCCAATGAGGCACTTTTCAAACCCATCTTTAGTGCCAGTCCCGAGCCAACCAACCCCCCAACCACTTCACTGTCCAACTCAGCTTTTGGTGGGTCCCAGACAACCTCCAGCACCACCACCACGGCTGGTTTTTCTCTGTTGCCTAAGCCTGGGTCTTTAGGTTTCAGCTTCTCTGAACCAGCCTCAGCCCCCTCTATCTCCTCTCAAAGTAACCCACTAACAACTGACAGCAGTAGTGGTCCAGCTACCACTCTTCAGTTCACCTTCTCCCAACCAGCCACACTCACCAGCTCCAGCACTAAGGCTGCCACCACAGAGCCCACCACCCCGTCGTCTTTCAGCTTTACACCCAAAACCCTCCAGCCTCAGGCATCGCAGCTTTTTGGAGGAACAACTTTTGGTCAGCCCTCAGCTTTTAGTGAAACCAAAACCAAAGAAGAGGCTAGTACAGATGTTAAAGTCCATACTGCCCAAGGGGACATCAACATATTTGCACGGCTTGGCAAAGGCACCAAGCGGAAAGACGATCCACCAATCTCCAGCACCGGCCTTGAGAAATCAGCTGTCCCTGAGGAGGATGTTCCACCTGAAGCAGAGTCACCGAGACATCCCCCAAAGAGGCCGCTGATGAGGTCGCGTGGCCCACCAAGAGGATTAATCAGCCGAGCATTGAGCAGTCTTCGTAAGGATGGTGCTAAACCAGTGAGGCGGGAGGCTGCAAACGAACCGGAGAGGGAGGATGTCCAAATTCAGAGTGGTGACCTCTTTGTAACTCCACCTGCTGCCCAGACACTGACCAAAGATGTGCAGGATAAAGCCGAAGAATCAGGTGAGACATAAAAGTCATATATACTATGCATTAGTAATAAATGTTCGAAGGGTCATGGCAAAAATCCTTCATCATGCAAAGTACTTCTAAACAATTGAAGACCAGTTTACTCGTCAGTGCTTACAATGACTGTAGTGATTTTTCTCTACAGATTCAGCAAAACCTTCAGAATCAAAGGTCGCAACCACGACCCCAAATAAACGTGGCTCACGCACTGAGAGCATGGACAGCCTGAGCGGCATGTCTCCCACCGACTGCACCTCACTCATGTGCAGGAACGTCCCTTCATCACTCAACAGAAGAGACACGATCGAGAAGCACTTTGCTCGGTTTGGGAAAGTTCACAAGATTATCTGCCGGCCCGCCAAGAACCTCACCATAGTGTACTTCAATGACCACGTGAGTCACCTCTTTGTACCCTCACCATCCTAAGTTAGAGGACTGGCATTCAGTTTAACTTTTCTCTCTCAAGCTTCTACTCTTTTATTGCAAGTATTTTGGAGTTTCCTATTCTACTTTATAGAGTGTAATGTAGATTTTTTTTTTTGTCTTTTCCCATCATCTCTTCCAGGCATCAGCGGCAAAAGCAAAGAAAAAAGGCAAAATCCTGCAAGGAAAAGAGCTTCTCCTCCTGTGGCAGAGAAAGAAGCAGAGTAAATGCAAACATTTCTTTAAAAGCTAGTTTATTTTGGCAAAAATATCCTCTAACACAGAGTGATGGTTCTTCTGTATTAATGTGTAATGTTATGGAGCAGGTCCAGGGGAGAAAGCGGGTAGACCTGGAACTGGAAAGGAGACGTCAGAAGGAGAAGGCCAGGAGGACATGGAGTCAAAAGCGGGTTCTTCTTCACCACTCCGGAGACCCACCCTGAGACCTCCCACACTCAGCAGCACGGTGACCTTCAGCCGCAGGTAACACAGCACCTAATTTTTACTTCACCAATAAAGCTGTCATGTAGTATGAAAAGTTTCCACAACATCATGGCTCTCTCACATGTGTCAGCTCCCCGGTGAAGAAACCTTCCCCCGTAAAGGCTCTACAGTTTGACACTGAACCTCAAAAAGAGAGCAGCACCAGCCAGAGCTCCGAGCGCCCGGTCCCATCCTCTCTCCTCCCCCTCATCGGGCAGGTGGCTGAGACCGCAGAGGACAAATACCGCCTCCTCGAGCAGAGAGACAAGATCCTGCGTCAAGGCAAAGCCACCTCTCACATCAGCCATTATTAACAGAGCTACAAAAAATAAATTAAAAAGGTGTGAGACATTTAGTGCTGATGTCTTTACAGGCCGGCCAAAGCGGACAGACCTCCACCTTTCCAAGGTATTTGTGGGGACGTGTCCTGACATGTGTCCTGAGAAGGAGAGGTACATGAGAGAAACTCGGAACCAGCTCAGCGCATTCGAAGTCATTCCAAGCACAGAGACGGTAATGTCTTTAATATCAATATTAATATTATTTAAAATATTAAATTTGACCTAGAACTCCATGTTTAGTATTCAGAAGATTCTCTGGAGCACATTTAGATTTAAACGCTTTATTCACTTCATCTGATTGCACTAATTGGACGTTTGGGTGCACAACATTGTAAACATATCTGCTATTCATAAATAATGAATGTGTAAATATCTGTTTAGGCTTGGTGATAAATAATAAAAAATATGTATACACTGGAGAGACACTGCAGACTAGAAATGTCCAACTCACTTAAGTTTGTGGGCCAAAGAAAGCCTCGTATGATGCCCGACAGTCAAACAACTAAATGTTTAAAACCTTTCTTTTAATTTAAACAAAAATTTGCTAAAATCTTTCAAATGTAGTGAACTGTCGATTACAGAACTGATGATGAACCGCCTGAGATACTTTTAAATGTCTTCTTACATGTAATTAAAGTACTGTCATATTTTCACTTTTCACCCAGTGAGGTGATGTTAACATTACCTCAATGGGTAGTGCAGAATGAAACTGTATTGGCCCAGGGCAGCCCCAGGACTCACTGGAAAGGTTATACCTCTTGGCTGGCTTGGGAATGACATTTTGTCCCCTTCCGATGAGATTAAAGAGGTGGCTGTGGTGAGGGAAGTTTTGGCTTCTCTGCTTACACTGCTGCCCTGTGACTCAAACGCTGATGGATAGATGGATGAAATGGTTGTCAGTGTTTTTTGTAGCAGGCTGTAACCTGGTCATGCAAGGAAATTAGATTCTTCTTGCTGTAAACAATTTTTTCTCCTTCCGTTTCTGACCAGGTGGATCACAAAGCCGCCATCAAGGAGTACAGCCGCTCATCAGCCGACCAGGAGGAGCCCCTGCCCCACGATTTGCGTCCTTTGCCGGTGCTCAGCATGACTATGGACTATCTGGTGACGCAGATCATGGATCTGGGC